TATGGGTTTAACCACTAACCATACAACATATAGACTGGTCATTTCATACGACGCATTTGGACACAAAAAAACGGACGGCGGAAGGTCCACCGCTCTCACAGCAGCAGGTCCATGCACTTCGTGTGCGTTCGGGTTTTTTACTCTCTCATTCTTATTCTCATTTTTATGCTCGCGCACTCATTGCACGAGTTCAGTCGTTCAGTCGCAGAGAGGCGCTTTTTGAAGAAGGCTGCCCTGCGCTTGAATTCGTCTTTGTATGTATGCGTGATCATGCATTCTCATACACGGGAGCATGTGTGCGTTTATTTCATTTCGGCGCATCAAGAATATTTTGTCTTTTGCCACTTTTCAAACTTGGTACCCTAAGAATATGGGCGTATTTACTATTGGGTTATGATATAAATATTAATATTATATGTTACAATGTAATATTTCAGCATACATTTTATTTTTGTTTACAAATTCAAATCAGTGGTAGCAGTAAAATGTTTTACATATATGTATGTATTCGAATTTATAGAAATCAGTCCACTGAGATGGGAACAGGGCATATCGCAGTTGTGTCACTTGAAACACCGACTGCTCTTCAGTGGTTGAGAAAACTTCAAACTAAATCAATTCTTGTCGATGTTTTGCGAGCGGTTGGTGCCTGCATACCCTACCGACCGGCTTTTAGGACACTTGTTTTAAATGTTATGTTTAGTGATCTTTGGTTGATTTATTTTTTAATGATTCGCAGTGTTATTTTAATTGTCTTTAAACAAGTAATAAATAATAAAATACTTTTTATATTTTTGAAAATGTTAATGGAACAAATATAAAAATCCACATTTTTTTAATGATAATAATTTATTTTAATGATTATAATTTTAGATTTTAATTGTACCCATATCTTGAATTTTAACGAATTATTTAAAGACAATTAAAATAAGACAATTAAGTAAACTATTAGATCTAGTCTTTAGTAGCTCAGGAATAAATTATTCCATAAGTCTTTGCGATTGTCATATTTTTGAATGTGATGCTCATCTTATCCCATTACTGTTAAATTTAAAGTTTTACACTTTTGAGCCTGGAATGCCTCAAGTTCAGTTTTATATGTTTATCGCAACTAGTCTTAATGCTGTACGTATAATATCTTAGCAGTTAATCGGCCTATAGTTTTGTCGCATGCTAGTATAGGCATCTGCTATTAAAACTTTTTGAATATATTATCTGATATTTATAAAAGAAATTTTCCTCTGAAAGTTCAAAGTCCATATAGACTTTCATGGTAAAATAAAGTTTTAAAAAAGTATAAAAATTTGCGCAATAAGTTTTACAAACGTTTTCTTTCAACTCAAAGTGACTATAAGCAATATAAGCAGCATAAGCGTGAGTTCGAGTTCTTATATACATTTCTTTATTATCAGTATATTGGAGATATCAAGATTGGCCTCAAACAGAATCCAAAATCCTTTTGACGGTTTGTCAATTCAAAAAAAAACATTGCCCATCCCTTCGTTATTGATTTTGGAAAATGTTACTGCAAAATTTTGAATTCCAATTTTTAGCCTGAGAGTAATTGGAACCATTCGGAAACATCAAGCAATATACCTACTTTTCTAAATGTTGGTCGTCTCATTATATTTGACGATGATATTCATCAAGCTTTGGATGGTCGAAATGTCAGAAAACTGAATTCGACGGATACGAACGAAAATAACGAAGCAAGTTTTCTTTCTAGAAAAGACACAACCAACATCAATCTTCAATTACCAATTTGGCGTCTTCAGCAACTACTACATTCACAAATTCCAATGTCATAATAAAGTAGATACAGTTTATCTGAACTTTGCAAAAGCTTTTGACAAAGTTTGCAATAGAGCTCTTTTCGCAAAACTCGAAAAACTTGGTTTTTATCCTTCCCTACTGAGTTGTATTAAATCTTTTCTAGATCGCCGAACTTATAGGGTCAGTATCAATGGAAAACTTTCTTTCCCATTTGAGGGCCTTCCGTGCTCTTGGCCCTCTCCTTTTCATTATTTACATCAACGATTTTTGCTAGTCCGTAAAAAAATATGGAAATCCTCCTCGTTGCTGACGATCTCAAACTGTTAAGATTCATTCGGTCACCGCCTGACGCAAAATTACTTCAAACTGACTTTAATTTAATCAATGATTGGTGTTGTCAAAACTTGCTGCCTCTTAACTTAAAGAAATGATATTATGTCAAGTACAGCAAAACAGCGAAATGGCACTTTATTCGGCATTATGCTGCCTTTATATGGATTCCTATGGCAGCATCTCATGTTAACAGGACTGAGCGTTTTCAAAAGAAATTCTTAACTTTTAAGCTTATATCCGTTAACTTCGCTCACCCGCTTTTCTCCAACAGATGTCGCCTGGTACACTTATCTAGCCTTGAAAACCGAAGGAAAATTCAGTCACTACTTTTGTTTTTAATGATTTAATAGCCAGCAGCATAGACTGCCCATTATTGCTATTTAAATTTGATTATTATATACCATTAAGGTCTTTACGTTCTTTTAAACCATTCTTAATAAGAAGCCATCGATCGAACTGCCGCCAATGAGCCCTGCAGAAGTATGCGCTCGTACAACGATTTGTCTGCTAGCATGCGGTTTAGGTTTATCCTCATTAAAAGGGCAATTCGCAATTTCCTATCCTAATATTTTATAAATATAAGTTATATCTTAAGTTTATATCAAACAAAAACACCTCTTAACGAGGAAAGAAAGTCATGACAATCAGCTCAAAAAAGTTGGGTCGACAAAAATCGAATTTTTGAAATTTGAAAAGCGGAGTCGTTTGCCCATTTTTTGCCCACTTTTACCCACCAATTATTTTTTTTTGCCCACCTTCAGTTTTGAAAATATGAGAAGTTCGAAAATTTTCGAAAACCTAAAAGTTGACTTATTTAATTTTTTGTTTTCATCGCAAGAGAATTGTTTGCCCACCTTTGAGAATTTTGAAAAAGTAAAAACTTTAGAAAATATGGAAATTTTAAGTTTTTATCATTTTTTATCCAAGAAAAAATCATTTGCCAAAGCCATTAAAATAGTTTTTTCGAAAAAATAAAGAATGCCCATGTTTGCCCACCTCTTAAAATTTAAAAATTTGAAAAAAAAAAAATCGTTTGCTTTCCTCTTAAAAATACGATTTTTTTAACAATAACGTAAGCAGACGGCTTTTAAACAGCCTTGCTCTCCTATTAAAAATGTTTTTTTCGAAAAAAATAAAAGATGCCATCCTCTTAAAATTTAAGAATTTAAAGAAAAATCGTTTGCCAACCGCTTAAAAATGTGTTTTTTTTAACGGAAAACGTTTACGTTTGCCCATTTCTTAAAAATTACTTTTTCCGATAAAAATCGTTTGCCCACCCCTCATAAATAGTTTTTTCGAAAAAAATAAAAAATGGCAATGTTTACTCATCGCTTAAAATTTCGGAACCTAAAAAAAAAAACGTTTGTCCACCTATTAAAAATGTTTTTTTTTTTTTTAAATAAAGGATGCCCATGTTTGCCCAGCTCTTAAAATTTAAGAATTTAAAAAAAATCGTTTGTCCACTTTTTAAAAATATGATTCTTTTAACAAAAAACGTTTGCCGACGGCTTTTAAACAGCGTTGTCAAAAAAAAACGTTTTTTGTTAAAAAATCAAATTTTTGAAAAAAATTCGTTTGCCCACATCTTACAAATATGATTCTTTTGACAAAAAACGTTTGCCGACGACTTTTAAACAGCCTTGTCAAAAAAAAAGTCTTTTGTTAAAAAATCATATTTTTAAGAGGTGGGCAAACGAATTTTTTCAAATTCTTAAATCTTACGAGGTTTTCGAAAATTTTCGAACTTTTAATATTTTTAAAACTGGAGGTGGGCAAAGAAAAAATAATTGGTGGGTAAAAGTGGACAAAAAATGGGACGATTCCGCTTTTCGAATTTCAAAAATTCTATTTTTGTCGACCCGACTTCTTTAATCTGTATTTGCATAAAGTTAGTAGTACAACTTTCAAAATCTAAACTTTTTTTTTACCATAATTTGCCGTTTATTATCCGTAAATTATTCGTGAAAGAAAAAAATTTGCCGCTCAACTTTTTTAAAAGTTATCCAATGTTCTGCTAACTTGATATCAAGTACACAAAATTAAACTTTAACTTTTCGAAAAATTTCTTTTGCAGGAATTTGCCGTTAATTATCCATAAATTATTCGTGAAAGAATAAAATTTGCCGCTCGTATTTTACTATTTTTTTTTTTTAAACAAACCCTGTGTTCCGCTAACTTGATATCAACTTCTTACCAACTTGATATCAAGTACTGTTAGTACACAGGGTTTGTTTTAATACGCAAATAAATCATAACTTTAATGTTTTCAAGAATATTTAATTTTTGCAATAGCTGCAAGGGTATATTAACTTCGGCTTGCCGAAGTTTCCTCCCTTTCTTGTTTATAATATTTTTTCGAAAAACCTTTTTTTAAGGGTTTGGCAACCGATTTTAGACAATATAAGTCATTTTTAAAATGAAAAAACGTTTATATTTTAAAGCACTTTTAAGAGTTCTAACTATTTTTAGGTTGCTTAATTTTTTAAGATGTCGGCAAACATTTTTATTTTTTCAAAAAATCTTTTTTAAAAACTTAAAGTTTTCAAATTTTTTTTAATTCTAAAAGATGGGCAAACGTATCTCTAGTGCTTAAATTTTTGATTTTTTTTTTTCCAAGTTTTCATATTTTTCAAAACTGAGGTGCACAAAAAAAAAATTGGTTGTAACAAATAATCGGCTCAATCGACTACGCCTTTGAAATTTCAAAAATTGAATTTTAGTGATACATCTTTATATGAGGTGTCTTATTTAAGTTGCGTTGCAGGCGCTTAATTTTAAAGCAGACTAGACATAACCAACTGAAACCATTTGTTTTTGTAAATATCAAAACATTATATATATATATATATATACTATGTTATATATTCTACGTATGTACGTGTCTAGAATTTTACCTTGTCGAATGCTACCACACGATATAAGAATGCCATCGTTAGCGTAGCTTACTACTAGAATTTTGTTGTAATTGTTGACCAACGATGTCTCTATATCGTCCGGGCAGCCTCCTGCATGGCATTGCGGTGAATCATTTACAGGTCCAGTAACAGCCTCAGACAGCACTCGAAGGTTTTCGTTAAGTTTAAGTATTTTATTTGTGGCACCCGCAAACAATACATTGTGCATAAAATCAAAGCTGAGATGCGTGAAATAGTTTTTAGATTGATAGTCTCCGCCAGTTTCGATGTTATTTCCTTTTGAACGATTTCCATGGTTGGATGCTGTTAATGGGGCCAATGTTGAAGGCAAGTTAAATTGGGCGACGATGTCATTTGAGGTAAACGACACCTGTGCCGGCAAATCTTTTACACAGGTAACGGATTGATGTCGCCAACTAAATATGGTGATAATGCACAGCCCATAAAATATTGTTGAAAAGTCCGCACAAAAGAAGTCTTTTCGCAGCATATTTATTATTATAGTTTATATGTTTAATTTTCTGATCAACTTTCAGTGATTTTAGAGCATCAATTCTCCATAACATTAAACATCATTACATTTTCAGTCCGTAAGTAAACTTGGTTTTCCAACAGTATCACAAAACATATATGTAGGAGTACTGAACGTTTATTAAGCCGATGCCCACAGAAACTTGCAATACAGTAATTAATTTATATTTAAATTGGTGTTGTGATACTTCCAATTTTGTAGAGACCGTTTGTTCCACATTTTGACAACTATTTAATCAAGGTAAACAAATAGTATTTATAAAAAAATTTCCGAATCAACGCTTAAACATTGTGTGTACACTACTAGTGGCTCTAGCGCTTATTTCGGTGGTATCGATTAATCGGATATAGGTTGCACTATCGGTAAAACGGCAATACCCTATACTGACTGAGCACTATCATCACGCCACCCTCGTGATCCTCCTTAATACGAACTTCCACATCTATTTGCAGAAGTTGTTGCGAAAATTTAAGACCAAGTAGACAAACCGAAAAACGTAATAAAATATATTATCTGCCGCTCGAATTGAAAAAGGAAAGAGTTATACTCATATGAACAAGTCTGCAATGCCATTCAGATAATATAAAAGGTAATGACTTCCATTTGACTTGCGGGCCAAAGAACTGGACGATCTACAATTAGCGCGGAAAAGCTATCATAGATTAATGGATCGGCCATCATAAGCCAACGTCAGTGGATAAATCATAGCCTGAGGGATTTTCTCTGCGAATATCAAAATTGTATTTAGTGTATCATTAATAGTTTAGTTTATTGGCGGGAAAATTGTGTTTTGTGCTCTGTTCTCCTTTTTAGGATTTTTTACTTCTTATAGGCCGATCAGCTGGTGCCTGTGTCAACTTTTTCGCTGCAACTCTTTTAGGCGGCTGTGTGCAAACGCTATAAGCTACTATTGTTGGCTACTTTGGAAATCAGCAATCCCAACCGTTCCACTGGAATGTGATCCGTGAGATCTAAGTAAGAGGGCTTTGTTAGGGTATTTCCACAAAGATCCATCCACATTCAACATCCGTTGAAGGGATGGTTCATAAGGTTTTGTTGTTCCTAAAACTTCCAAGTTGGCCCGCCGTTAAAATTTGACAAACTTTGACGGACAAATTTATGCTATTTATGGATTGTGTGGAAAGAGGGCATATAGCGGTTAGGGATTTTGATGAATGGTGGACTAGTGTTCCCACAGAGCCACTATCCATATATGTTGCATCATCCACGCACATCAAAATTCACAGTGGAAAAAGTGAAACTCCGTTTGACACTGCTACCGTCTACCGTCTACGTCTTCTTCTACCGAGTGCTCAAAACAAAGTGAAATTCAACCAAAAATTAGTAAAATATATAAAATTGTTTGGCTAGATTATTATAGAACAAAATAATAGCCACATCCAATATATTATCAATATTGTTTCCTGAGTTTTGAATGAATATCACCTTTTTTCGGGCACTCGGAAGAAGAAGACGTTAACGATATACGGTGGCAGTGTGAATTGGAGTTTCAGTTTTCACCGTCTTGCTATCGTTCCCCTAATAAACTACTGATATGTGAATTAAGAAATAACCGGAAATTTTAGGCAAGTAAAACCTTACGGACCATCTTTGAAAGATATGGCTGATGGTGCTCTGTGGGACTATGCCATTCAACTACTAAATATATTTCAAGTTGCCTCAGATGGGTCTACCACAAAACACAATCCACCAACCAATAGCCGGATGGTTCCTAACATTCTTATACAACACGGTCCATCCGGGGGAAACAGGCACAGAGCACATCCTCCATCTGCCATCTGATAACAGCTGATCAGAACAGGTGTGGCATTACGAAACATAAATAAAGTTAACAGGTCAACCAACTTTGTTTATGTTTTGATTAGCCACATCTGTTCAGATCAGTTGTTATCGGTTGGTGGATGCACTTTCACACGGATGGACTGTTTGGGATGAGGGTATAATAGCCTAGTCCCACAGAGCCCATTCATATATGGTGGACTGATCTTCCCTCAGAGCCACCATCAACCTTCCACTATTTACCGTTCATCATCATCATTGGCGTTTGCATAATTTACTTTACTTACTTTTTCCGGCTCTTATTTTATTTTAATGCTATGGATGAGTTGTTAATTGGTTATCTGAACTTTTATTTAATGGCTTGTATCTACTCTGTACTCAAATAGCTGCCTGTGGAAGTGTTAACCTTCCAAGCATCCGCCTCTGGTTCACAGAAACAAAGTTGTCCGCTAAATCAATTTAAATTCTTTCGCGCAAAGACTTTAGAGTTGCACCGAAAAACGTTGGGAACGTAAAGTCCACCGCCAAGGAATGAAAGGGAAAAGTTTGGCACAGCAAATCCTTACGTACCACCTTTCAACAAGATGGTTGATGGAATCAAACGCTTTTCTAAAATCATTGTAAACATCGTGAGTCTGACGGTTGTTTCTGAATTTATTACGAAAGACGTTAGTTCCAAGAGGTTTGACGTCGTAGACATGCGTCTTGTATCGATACGATACAATCGTATACTGGCACTGTCGATACCATCGAAATTTTTTTTATTTTTCTAAACATCAATGGTTTTTTGGCCACTATCGAATGTTTTTAGATTTCGGCATTGAAGACAGCATGTGAGTAAATATTCTTTTTCTTATATTAATTAAAAGATTTTTGTACATGCGTATGTACATATGTCGGAACGTGCACTCAGCAAAGCTGGATAAATTGTTTCCGATCGCTGGAGCTGCCTTAAATCAAATATTGTGGATAAATTAATATTCATTAACAAGAACCAAAAACTGATCTCAAAACATGAATAAATTGCTGAACTTTTAAATAAACCTGTTTTCAAGCTCTAGTAATCGACCTACAAAGCTGTTGCAAGTGGGGGGTAATAACGTTTTTGAAAAGCTTGTGACGAACGCGCTTAGAAGGAGTGTACGCCGCAATTTGTTAATACTAAGTCACCAAGATCATACATAATATAATATTAAGTTACAATTTAAGTTCAGAAACCAAGTGGCAACCTCAGCCGATATTTACCATAAGAGTAAGAAAAAAAAACTACTGTTCAACTTCATATTTACAAGAGATTTTTATTTTAACCATTGAAAAATGTAAATTTGATGTTGAAAATGGTATTTTTTCAAATTCTCTCTCTTTGAAAGTGCTCTCCAGTCGAAAAAGAGAGAATTCTGCAAGATGGCGAAAAATTTCAAATAAGTTAGAGGGAGAAGGACAGTTACCTGGTTACATGGCTTTCGCATTGCTTGTTTTTCGGTGATTTCACTTTTATGTGAGAAGACATCGGTAGAGCGCTTTACAAGTGGAGCGCAAGAAAAGATGAGAAGGGATTTTTAATCTTTATAAATAAGTGATAAGTGGATGATAAGTTATGATTGTAACTAACTAGTAAAACAAGTTATTGTTTTAACATATAAAATTTCATAATTCTTTTGTGTTGTGTGTGTGAGTGTCTATGCTGACCGGCAAAAATTTGACTTTTTGTCACAGCCACTTATGCGTTATTTTTGCCGGTCGGCATAGACACTCACACACACACAACACAAAAGAATTATGAAATTTTATATGTTAAAACAATAACTTGTGTTACTGTTTAGTTACAATCATAACTTATAATTCACTTATCACTTATTTATAAAGATAAATGGTTAAAGTTTTAAGTTTAAAATCGACTTTTAGTTAATCATCAACACGAGAAAACAGGACCTAATTTGATTTTACTTTATATTTTCTTTCCAGAAGTTAAACCAGAAGCTTAAGTATCAACAGAAACCGCATATACATATGTACGATTCAACCACAACATTTTGAAAAATTAATTTTTATAAAAAAAATTTGTTTTTATAAATAAATATGACATCATATATATTTTAAGTTATTTCTCAAACAAATGTACATACTTTTGGCAAGTGCTAAAAAATTGTTAAAAAAAAAACATTCTCGCTACTGCTTCTTAACTATAATATTAAATACACAATAATATAATTTTTTTTTAATATCAAATATACATTAATAAAGTTTTGATATTAAAATATGAAATTTACAACATGGTTGATTCAACAATTTTATATAAAAAAAATGTTAAATATATTGATACTGTTTTTGTGTAAAATTGATATTATCAAAATGTATTTTTTTACATTTCGATGATATCAAACTAATACGTCATGCATCACGCATAAAATGATACGGAATTTCAGGAGAATAAGTATCATATCTTATCAATTTTTGTTTGGTGTAGGAGGGCGAATAATACTCTAAATCCCGAATGTGCGAAAAGGAAAGAAGGAGAAAGGCGGTCGTACTCCGACCGATAATCGGTCTTGGTTTTGAATCGCGAAACGGGACAAACGTGTCTTTCGGCGGGCGGTTAATTCGAGGTATCCAAATCACGTGCGCATCATTTACGCTACGGCATACGCGTGTAGTTAGTTAGTGTTACTCTCCCGTAGTATTTGCGGCCTGCGCGTGGACACCCTTCCCGACTGGTCTTTTACCCTAGTTTTTTTCTCTCGTAGAAGTCACCAAATCAAAGAGTCTAATTTCCATTAAAATTCAGACTAATTCCACACAATTCTCATATTGTAAATTTATAATTCGAAATTCCATGTGATGGAATACTAGGAATCGACTTCATTAAAAGTTACAACTGTCAACTAGACTAGAAGCCATCCGAAGACTTGGCTTATAATTAAACTAAATAACTTAAATTGTCCAGTTTATGTTTCAATAACATACAGTTCTGGCAATACCTCAATTATTCTGCCAGCAAAATCCCAAGATTCCAAACCAAGAAATTCAGCATGGTATATAAATTACAAATACCATAGCAAAATCTCAAATCACGCTTATGAACGCTACTTAACACAACCAATATATATCAAGTAGTCAATATAAAAAATTTAAGATAAGAACCACTTTTAAACTACGATGTAGTAAACTCAAATGTATTAAACAGGAAAAAGTCTGTATTATCTAAACTCTCCAAAACTTCCGTACACAGCACTATGGGGCCAACGACCTCATTTTTGTCCAAAATTCATAACTCGCTTAACTTTAAAGATATCAAAATTAACTTTACCAATGATTTTTTCCTCGTTAGGCAACATATATATAAAAAAATTGCGATCGGACGAATGTATCGTATAGCTGCCATACGATTAATCCATTAATTTTCTTTAGTTGCTTATGAATGTAATACGTTTTTTTCATTCAGCCAAGCTGTAAATTTTGGTTTATTTTTTTTATATCCCAGCTTAATTAAAGTTTAAATTTGAAAGTAT